TGGTTCTAAATAGAACCATTTTCTTTAAGTGTGTAGAACCTTTTTAAAAATGGTTTTGTTTAACACTAAAAAGGGTTCTTCTATTATTCCAAGCTTGACATCACAACAATAACAGAACCCCTTTTTTGGTGCTTTACAAAACCATTTTCAAAAAGGCTCTCTATAGAACTATAACACACTCTCCATCAATCTGAAGAACCACTTCACCATGCAAAAAACCCTGTAAGCACGCAAATGGTTCTTTGGGTTTTATGGTTCTATATAAAACCATTTTCTTTACTAAAGAAGCATCTTTTTTAAGAGTGTAGTGAAAACAGTGATTCCAAACTTTTGCAGGTTTATCTTTATGTATGTAGAGTATGTAGAATAAGAACGTGCGCGCGCGCGCTCTCCCGGGGGACTGCAATCAGCAAGAACAATCGCGCGCGCCTGGCAGCGGTTGGCAGGGTGTCAGTGATGCCCGAGAAGGCTCGGCCCAGCTGGAGGAAGCGCTCACCTGAGGAGGGGTCACGTCAATCAAAATCCCCCGTGTACGCATACCAGGCACACGCGCAGCCTATTTACCCCGGGACAAAAGCGGTGCGTGGCACGAGCGGGCGCGCGGTGCGATGGCAGAATAGATTGAGCTGTCAGATCAGTTGCTCGGAAGGAAGATTAATAACCCGCGCAAACAATAACGGCCCCGCCGTCACCATAAATATGCTAATGACCGTTATCAATACAGCGGTTAATGGAAGCGCGCGAATTACAGAGACGGCCAAGAGAGAGGGCAGCAGGGGGCAAGCACTCATTCAAACACCCAGCCTACACAAACAAACTCACACTCACTCTCGCACACACACACACACACACACACACACAGACACACACACACTCACACCTACGACCTCGTGAGTAAGACAGCACTTAATTGTGCGCGCGTGTGTGTTTGCCTTGCGTGTTAGTGAGATTGGAGAGGCGAAAGCAATGTTCATGCCAGTGATTTAATTAAGAGGCTGCGCGCGAAGCTGTTGAGCTGAGAGGGGCGCGAGGCGGCTGTTGAGATAATGTGGACCATTGATTTTTATTAGTAATCGAGCATCTGTTTTGGCCTCGTAACTTGGCAAACTGATAACCTGGTGTGTGTGTGTGTGTGTGTGTGTGTGTGTGTGTGTGGAGGGAGATTATTAACACGCTGCTCTCTTTTAATGAATGATCGTTGACCTTGTGCATGCCTAGACGTTCTTGTTGTTGTGTTTATGATGTTTGTTTTCATACATTTTTCAGACAACCCGAGATAGACCTGCAATGTAAAGACCAGCAAAGTTGCAGTCCTCAAGGTTCGATGGTTCATTAAAAAAACTGAGATTAAGTTTAGGGTTCAGTTTAGAAAAACCTCATTTATTCAGTACTGTGGAAAAGCAGAGACTACCTTTCTTTTATTTAATTTTCAGTCAAACCAGTTATTAAGTAACTGCGTTATTATATTATAACTTAGTAATTAAGTATTCTTTTTAGAAAATTAACAATTAAATATAATATCAAAAAATCAGCATGTCCACTTTTTGTCTTTTTTACACATTCCATTCTTTTTGGGAGACTTGCTCTTAGTTTTTCAATGAAAACTGCAGGGATATTTTTTCCATACCTCCAAGATTCAGTCTTAGAAGTTGGTTGCATTTTCTGCTTCATACACTCTGAGTATTCCCAAACACATTCAGTGATGCTCAGGTCTGGACTCTGACCTCACCCACTGATGATACTTAAAGGGGAGTTCCACCTTTCCAAAATTCGCTCTAATTCGGTAATTAAGATGTAAACAATGTAATTGCTGATGTGAAATGCTCCATAATAAAAATTTGATAAAAAAATTGATAAATTACCGAGTCAGAAATATTTACAGAATTATTTATCAGTTTCCTTATAGGTAAGCCTGTTCACTCAGCAGCCATCTTGGCAACACATCAGTTTTTTTTTTTCGGTCAAACAAGACCAGACTCCTACCTGCTTGCATGCGGAGAGACATAAAAACTCGAAACTGAAGGTCAAATTACCTACGCATGTTTGAAATCACTGATAAAATCTAACAAAAACCTCATAAATTGTCTGTAGCCGTTGACACAACCATGCACAAAATGTGTTTTAGGGTTAGTCTGGCTACCGCGCTTGCGCTGATCTCCACAACGGGGAGGGGAAGGGCTTTCCCGCTTGTGGCGTAACCAGCAAGACATCGTTTGCATTTTATGTGGGTTATTTTGACCTGTCATATGTGCATTCTAGTGTTTAAAAACGTTTAGCGTTTTCAACTAGAACTCGTCCATCATAAGTACACTTGAGATGTAGGCCTACAGAACGGACTTTGTACCGGATGTGAAAAAAGCTTTTCGAGTTTTGACAAATGAGTGTGAACGTCGTGAATCACGAGCGATTATAAAGGCTGTGTTGTGGCGTTCAGGACGGAGCAACATCGAGACAAAAAACAAAAACACCAGCATCACCTGCGGGTTTCCCACAGATAAAAACGCGACAGGGTAGACCAATGAAATAAATCGTAGGCGGAAAACGTAAGCGACACATACTAATTTAAAGACCAGTAGAAATGTGATGATTTTAGATCAACGAAAAGAAGACGTGGGCGGAGTTGGATCAGGTCTGGCTCCACCCCTTTGGACTTGTGGTTCTGCGGCGAGTGATTGTTGTGACATCATTTGCTCTTTTTATTTCTCCATAACCTGACGCTGAGCCTTACGAGCCTTTCCATTCATGTTACAGCCATTGACCGCCGTCCTCTTTATAACGACTCTGTTTTAATGTCTCTAAAGGTTCCCTCACAGTAAGTAATTACATGAAATCGTTACAAACACTTTGCCTGATGTCTGAGACCTGTTCTATGTTCATTTTGAGAAAAGGTTTTGTCCCAAAACATACCTAAACTTTACTGTCAACATCATTACATATAAAGCTCAGAAGACAGGTGTAGGTTCACTGGTGGATTTGAATGGTGAATGTCTATATTTGTGTTGTAGACATTGTGACCCCTGGTTCCTATCACCGGTACTGTCAAGAAAGTTTGAGTCTGTAAGTTTCTCTAGCATGAACCGTTTCACATCAAACCTCTCCGAGTGACTTTGTTTACATCTCAAAGATGTAAGAAATTTTCCCATTTCACTTTCCTATTTGACAAATCGTATTGTAGCTACACTGAAAAAAATGCACTCGGCCCTTAGTAAATTTTACATAATAAAATTGTGCATGTTTTTCTCTATTTAAATGTGTTTTTGCTTCAATTAAATAATAAGCAATGTTGAAAACCAGTAAACTAAACATATGAGACACGCTTAAAGTGAATTAGAAATAATTATGTCGTGTCAAGGGGTAGAAACTGCGCGTGCGCATGCACAACTTTTCCCGAGCTGACGGCAGCCATTTTCTACACCTTGTCTCTGGGAAGATTTGGATTACCTGAGAAAATTCTGTCCTCTTACATTCACAAGGTAGGAGATTGTATATTGTCTATTGTTTGTCATTATGGACATATAACATATTCATGGCATTTACGCAGAAAAATATTGGCAGAAACGTAAGGTTAAGGGAGGACTTAGCATGGCTTAAAATTCGCTAGCTTAGCTAACTTAGCTAGCTAGCCAGGTTAGTTTAAACCGACGCATATTCAAAGTACACAGCGTTACTCAGTCAAATAATCACTAAACTTACTAAAGCTGATCGCAGTGTTTTAATTGTAAAGGTCAGTGTTTTAATATAGTGTGTCCTTCATAGTTATCTGTCTACGTTGAGGTCACTTGAGGTCCTCACTAAGTTTGCTCATGAACACAACCGTTAGCTAACGTTACTGTTGACCTAGCCTAGCTAGCTAAGTAACGGCGCCATTTTCTGAAGTTCACTGCAGACGAGTGCGTTTAGCTGCTGTGTCATCGTACAAGTACACGGTAAAATATTGTTTTGATGGTTGTAGACGCGCACAACGCAGCGTTGGATATTTCTTTGATTAAACGTACAGTGAAGGGACGACTAGTAAAGCATAAGTTTGTGAGGGGCACAGTTCAACACATATTCGAAGTAAATAGACCTAGCTAGCGTTAGCTAGTTGTGTGTCCTTTACATGGCCTGTAATAGTCTTTTCCCAAGGAGGAGGCTGTACTCCCTTCGCCTGTGATTTTGGATGTGATATTTGGGTACTAGGTGTCCACAAACCTGTGTAATTTCAACCTTATTTAGCTAGCTAGCTAGCTCCACCGACTCTGGGGTTTGGATATGGAGCCTGCAAACTATTGTAGCTTGCGTTAACTTAGCTAGCAAACATAGCGTTGGCAGCTAGTAGGTTACAGACATCAGTTAACTGGTTTAATTTCAACGTTTGTCCATTTAACACTTTATGCTCTGTTCGATTAACCCAGTTTGCAATGTGGTGTTCCAACATGGACTCTGATACCGTTAGCGCAGCTAGCTAGCGTTAGTTAGCTAAGCAAACGTTAGTGTTAGCTAGTAGGCTACAAGCATCACGAAGCAGGTTTAAGATTAATTTCAGCTTTCTGTTCCATCAACACCAATCGCTCGACTTTGCTCTGTAAGAATTGTCAGTGGAGATTTAGTTCGGCATAATAGAATCCGTTATCTTGTTAATTAGTAAGCTAATGCTAACTGTTTAGCTCTGTAGTGGAAAAGAGGTTTGTTTGCCCGTATAACAGCAGTCATTGCTCATTATTATAATCAGAACATTATTTTGTATATAAGATGGTGCAGACACACTCACAAATGTATTTTGCTCATGTAACTCCCCTGTCATTGTTACCAAAATGGGGTTTACCTTATGTTTAGTCACCCTGCATTTATGTTAAACATTATGGTCTTCAAGTGCCAAGTGGTAGAAGTAATTATTATACATTGATTTTGATGCTCAATAATGCACAAACCCTAGACAGGGAATCCTGTTAGCCATATTGATTAAAAGAACCTTGATGTGGCTTAAATATCATAGTTGGTTTCAAACTAAAATAATGTTCACAGGATTAAAATAAATAGCTAAATATGAGTAAAATAATATATTATTGTAAGAGTATTAAATTTCAGCCAAAATAATGCACTGTTATGTCCTTCCACATGGTGAGATAAAACATTTAAGGTAAAGCAATAAAACATTAAAGGAAAGCTTATGTTTAAGATAAAATGTTAACTTGGTCTTTCATTTAGTTTTATTTAAATGTCCTCTTTGTTTATAGGTTAAGGCTTAACAAGGTTGTTGAGTGCCATGTTTTAAAGGATTCTCTGTCATGTTCTAAGTCTCTGGTAAGTGCATTTTTATGATCCAGATTTGATGTTTAACTATGAGGCTATTTGTTTTGTGAAGCTACTCTTTATTTTTTTGTTTTATTGTTCAAATTAATCATTTTTAAGTCTCTAAGATGATTGGGATTTTGATGTTCACATGTTTCTTTTATCTGTTCCTTGTATTCTTGTCAAGTTAATGTACCCTTTTAAACAGGTTAAGGTATATTCTAACAAGTGCAATCAATATGTGCAGGCGAAGAATGTCCACCTTAAAAGAGAAGCCATCATAAAAGCTCTTTGTCCGCCCCTGAATGATGATGATGGATTTCTTATCAAGGAGTACAGGGTAAGTCAGTATGTGACCTAAGCACGTCACCATCATTCTAATTCAATTCTAATTTCTAACTAAGGTAAATTCATCTTATTTCATATTTGTGCTCTTTTAAATACTGTGTGTCTTCCAGGCACCACAGTTCTTATATCAATTGCTTATAACATTTGCTTAATAAAATCAGCCCCCTCCCATCTGTGTAGTAAATCCAAATCGAAAAGAGGCGTTGATGTGTTTGTATGTTAGGACCAACCATAGATTGTAGGTGCTAATGTGAGAAGGGTGAACTAGAACTATCCATTTTGTAATGTGTATTTTACCATTGAATGGAGTTTTGTGGAGATGAGAGGCTGATTTTATTTATATTAATCATAAAATAAGTATTTGATATTAAATAAACTGTTGGAGGTACCTAGAAGTATTTAGAAGAGCTCAAATGAGAAATAAACTGAACTTACTCTTTATGGAGCAAGATTACAATGGAGTTTAGTATTAATAACAAGATTTAATTATTAGGACATTCATGGTGAAGACATATTGAGAGACCAGCACAGCACTGAAATGGGCATTTATGTCATCAGAAGAGGGTGGAACCCTTGGAGAGTATGAAGACATTGACGCTGATGGAAATGTTATTGTAGGAAACATCAAATCAGTTGCACCAGACTGCAGTAATGCTTGGAGTAATCTATACACTGAATATTGGTCATCACAATGGGTGGAAATAATGCTATGAATTTGTACATTCCTCATGCCAAAGGATGGTGCAAAGCTCTCCCCTAATATTCTTGGTTTGGAGAACAAAATCTTGGGATAGTCAAAATAGGCTGTCCGTTATGGAAATATATGGAACTTTTCACACTAGCTTCTGCTTTGATTGAAAAGCAATGGGCTTTTGAACGACGCTTACGTCACAAACAAGTATGGCTGTATTTGTCAACATCTCTTTTAAAATTCAATGACATTTCAATAATTTTCTATACAACATGTCAAGATCCTGGTCATGTTTAAGAACAATTTGTTATAAAACAGCATGCAGTTAAATTTTAGAGTCTTTTTTTGCTAAAGCTGTACAAAGTAGTCTTTTGAACAGTTTGAGCTCTATAAATTTTCACCCTAAATTTGCAAAGTCTAACAAGCAAAATAAGGTTCTGCTAACTAGAGGCAGTGCTTTGACAAGAAGGCTGTACTCTGTAGGCACTATTTCTGGGGCATTATTTTGATCATTACACAATATCCAATTGTCATCAAAGTCATATAACATTTAATACTGTGTAATTGTGCTGTTCTATTTTAAATATCTGCTGTTGTAAAGTTACACTTAAGGTTGGTGTTATCATTACATAATTACTGAATGTTACTTCATTGTTTCACAAATTCTGGGCCATTACCTAAGACTTAATTAATTGTGATTAAAGGCACACACATTTAGGTGAATTTGTTTATAATTGAGGTGTTCTATTTGAAGCTTATTGTTGTATGTAAAGTTGCATTTTAGCTTGTGTTGCCTGCAAGACAAGCAATAATGTATTGATACCTGTGCATTTTTAGAGAAGTATTTAGTCTATTTTTTACTAGTCTGCTTTATTTTGTCTACAGTCTTGTTTTATTACTTTATATTCAGTGTTTTTCTATAGTGGTAAAGCAAATATGTACTTTAGTTGATCCTAACATGCATGTGCATTTGATGTACCTTAATAAAGTCACTAATTTTTTTTATTGTCATGATAATCATTGTCTTGACCATATGTTTAAATAGATGGAACATTAATAAGTGTAGCTGAAGTTTAATTTGTGAAAATTAACATTTAAAATTGGTCTGTGATATAATTAAGCTGTTGTACATAAACAATGAGTAACTATTTGGAAATACATTAGAATTTAGTAGTTTTACTAAAGTTATTTAACAATCTACATAATTTAATGAAATAGCATGAACATGATTAAGTTTAGTTAAAATGACACTTCAAGGAAATTTTACAAAATATAATTAAGCTGGCAAAACTTACAAGCAATGAGTAAATGTCATCAGAAAGGCATCAAACTAAAAAAGTTGTATTTTTAACAATCTACATAATTTGCCTAAGTAGAAAGAACATGATTCATTTTAGTTATTGAAGTAAATCCTGCAAAATATAGTTAAGTTGGCATTGCTTATAGGTAATGAGTAAATGTTACTCGAATTATATATCTGAATGTAGAAAATTTAATTTCGTGCAACACTTTGACGAAAAAAAATTAATAAAAAATTAAGTAAATTCAAAGTCATTTTTTTGAGTGTACCTGCTACAGGCTGCTGCCGACACTGCCCCCACTGGCCTGTTCGGTAATCCACCCAAGGCTTTGTAACAGCTTCTTTATGTAATTTGGATATTTTCTCCCTTTTTGTCTATTTTCTTTTCTTAGTTATATCTTCTTCAGCTACACAGCTACAGATCTGAAGCAAACGTGGAGCTTGATTTCCTCCTTTCTCTCAAAAATGAAAGCTTTAGGTGCTGTTTATCTGATGGGGACAGTTTTGGTGGTCTACCAGGTCTTGCATGGTTGTAAGGAGTCTCATTTTCTCTGTGTCTTTTAATACTTTTTTAAACCCCAGTTTTGGAAACTCCTGTTTTTTTTTTCCATTTATTTTCCTTTGACTTCCTCCTTCTCACACCTGTGGATTATTTTATATCTAATCTCCTCAGAAACATCTTTTAAAAAAAATTAACAACTTGTATCTAATGCCTGTTTTTCTGGAAATTAAATGAGGGGTGGTCTCTGACTGTATATATCACCCCACATCATAACAGTGCATAAAAACAAGTATGTTTTAACATCTTAGCTTCGTTGTCAGCTATCCGTTCCTATTAGTGTTTGTAATATTTGTAGCTGATACTGTGATTATGTTAATGTCAGTGGATGATATCCTTCACTAATGTGTGTGTGTGTGTGTGTGGAGTAAGCCGTCAGCTGGTGCTCAGCTTTAACATGTTCCAGAGGTGTGGATTAGATACACCCTGATGAGTCCTCTCTTCAGTGTGTAATTGCTAATTGGCTAATTTCCTGCAGTTAATTGGATTGTTCTAAATGGTTATGTGAGCTCCGATTCCTCAGAGACCATGAAAAGTTAACATGCCATGAGATTATAATTATTACTGCAGGTAGTACGGGATGAGTTAGAGTGTGGTTGTTTGTTCCTTCACTTTCACTGTTATGGAATATGGAAAGGACACAGAAAATGAACAAGAAAGAAAAGAGAGAGGAACAGACAAACCAATGGAGGTTGAGAATAGAGCTCTGAGGTCATGTGCAAATTTGTAGCTAGGCCAAAATGGGACCTATAGTAGCCGATGTCAGCCTATGGTAAACAAATGTATTCCAAAGCCAATGCATAATTTTCTGTGCATTTACCCCTGAATGTCAATAGGTGCAAGGCTGTTAAAGTGGAATTCCACCAATGTTTCAAAATTTCTTAATAAATTAGTGATTGAGATATAAACAAAGTCATTCAGAGTGGTTTGACATGAAGTGGTTCATTGTAGAGAAACTTACTGACTATATTTCCTTACAGTGGTGCTAGGAACCAGGGGCAATGTCTATAAGGCAAATATAGCCATTATATAGTTTTTGTATGTTGATAATGGTAAAAATAGTGGTAAATCTGAAAGAACATACCTTCTTTTTGGTACTTTCTTATTGTCATGTACCACTCCGCCATGAATGGATTGAAAAAAACAAACAAACAAACAAAACATATTTTAGGCCCAGATCCAAATCTCATAATGATATCTTAGGAATTAGCCTGTGCACTCATAACCAATTCATGTATGTTTTCTGTGAAGTAGATTTTAGAGGCATTAAGGGGATTAATGGGATGTTCAATTTTAACCACAAAGGACAGTGTGGTTGCAGGTTTCTTATTTCATTTAGTTCATTTAGCTCAATTAAAGTTTGAAACCATTTGATCAAGTAGAATCAGGTCTGCTCCTGCCTGATTTGAATGAAAACTTGCAGCCAAGTTTAGGTTAGGGAACCAGCCCTGTGACTGGAAGGTTGCCGGTTCGATTACCTCAGCTGACAGTACAGTACAGTACAGGCACCTAAACCCCAGTTGCTCCCCGGGTGCCGTGGACAGGGCTGCCCGCCGTGGACAGGGCTGCCCACCGCCCTGGGCAATTGTGCTCACTGCCCCTTAGTGTGTGTGTTCGCTAGTGTGCATGTATGTGGGTGTTTCACTGCACAGATGGGTTAAATGCGGAGGTCTAATTCCTCTGTGTGCACACACAGTAGGCTAATGGAAAAATCGGTAGAATTCTAGTATAATAACCCTGCACATTTAAATGGTATAACTGCTTTGAGTGAAAGTAAAATCTTTGCTAAAACAATACACTACTTACACTAAGAATGGACAGAAACATCTGTGGACTCTTTCCAGATATGAAGCGAAAGTGGAGCTTGATTTTCTCGAAGATGAAAGCTTTAAGTACTGTTTATCTGTTGCTGACCATTTTAGGGCTCTACCAGGTCTTGCAGGGTTGTCAGGAGTCCTTTTTTGTATCTTTTAGTAATTTTTTTCACATCCCTCTGATTGCCTTGAAAGAAGATCAAGCCCAATACCGAACGCATTTACTCTAAATATCCATCTAAAACATATGTGACACCATATTGTGTTGAGAGTTCTTGCTCTGAGGAAGGTCAAGTGTGACCATTTGTACTGCTTTTCAGTATTATATCTCTTCATTTCAGATTTGGATTGGACTACTGTCCACCCTTTTTAGATTAGTGTGCGGGCCTAAATCCAGTTTGAACTCCAAAAGGATGACATGACACTATAAGAGTAAATTGCCCCAGAACAGTAGGACCTCAAGCCATTTTTCAGTCAGTTCTTCCTGTATTACCTCCTACAGTTGCTCACAGAAGCCTCTTCTGTGTTTGTGTGTGTGTTGTCAGCTGTCAGTTCTGATATTGACACTGGTCAGACTCAGCTCTGGACCTGGGCACTGAGCTCATAAAACCAGTCTCAGGAGGTGTGTGTGAGCCTGTGTGTGTGTGTGTTATCTCTTGGGTGGTTTTCACTAGCTTAACCTGCAGTAGGGTTGTAATTAACTGGGGCTAATTATTGGCAGGCAGGGGTTAGGATGCCCGTGAGAGCTCCCTTTGCTGCCTGCACAGATAATCACAGCTTAGGGCTCTGTCAAAGGGTAACCCCCCCCCCATCCGTCTGTGCATGTTTCAAGTAGAGCTTCATAGATTTTTACTCATGAGTGTACTTCATCTAACGAGGCTTGTTTTACCATCCTAGCTACCCCCTGTGTGTTATATACTTCTTGCATGGCCTTAACTAGCTATGAGGACACTGAAATTCTATAGCATAGTTTTTGAATGCTTATTTTTTTTTTTTTACATGTATCCCCAGATATAAATTTCAATGTGGAAATGATGACAACACTGTGTAACAAAACAGTTTATGAACTCTTTCCCTCTCATTTTGAAAGTTTTGACTGCAAACATGAGCCTTTGTAAGCTCCTGCTGGTGTGGGTTCCTTTTCTTTAAATGTCATGCAAAGCATGCTTATACCTCCCTTTTTATTCATATTTATGTTTGAAAACAGTTCAAACAGTTTATTTTGGCTAAAAGAAAGAATATTGTTCCTGTTTACTAGGATTCATTTTAACATTCCAGAGTCAATATACCTGTATCAACACCTTCAGGTCCATGCATCATAAAGCCTTTGCAATACTATGGAGTGTGGCCTATAATGATGGTGATCATTATCATAAATTATTTTTTAATTGACAGCTTTTGGAGATAACTTCACATTTACAGCAAAGCAACAGGTGTTAAAGCCCAATTCAGCCAAGCCTCTGTTCTCTTTCTCAGCTATCATCAGAACAGACGCAAACCATATTCAATTACCATCTGAATCCCAGCCAGGAATCTATAAGCTTTTGGAGATGAGGGAGAGGAAAGAGAGAGAATTGGAGGGTTCACGGGAGGGTACAACACATGGGA